TTATCTATTAGCACGTAAAAATATATTTAATAAATTTTGAATGACAATATCGAATTTACCATCCATTTCGCAACATAATCTCTTCATCATGATCTTTTGCATAATTTCATCTCTATCATCGTTATGTCGATAATATAAACTAATGAAATGTGTCTCTAATATATAAGTATTTTGATAATGCTAAAGATGTATTAAATGTATCATTACAAAAATAATAATATTTATATTTTTTAAGATAAATTTAAGATAAAATCAAATTATAACATAAAATTGCATGTTTGTCTCTTCTATGTCTCACTCTAAATTGTAAACTATAATTTTTATTTTTACTCTCAATTATGCAAGCCGCATCCATCCGCCATTCTATCTCATTACACACTGTCCCGCTCGCATTCATAGCAACATACTCAAACCTCAAAAACAAAGCAAAGTTCAGGGCCGAATTTTTATGATTCTCTCCCTCCTAAGCTCTTACAAAATATTTTTTATTTAACATAATTAAATTTTAAATAAAGAGTCAAATGACTTTTCAAACAGATGCATATGAACCGATATTTCAAAAATGTTCGAGCATTTAAATATAATATTTATCATTTAAATTTATGTTACATATTATGTATAAAAGTTTAATAGTATCACAATCATCACGCATGAGCAGATAATATCCTCAATTTAATTGCGCTTTCCTAAAATCGATAAAAAAAGTGTTGCAACTTCTATATCTGTGACAAAATCCATGCTTCCCATGCGCGGCAATAATCGAGGAGCAGATTCAAAATATTGATTGGTAATTTAATATATTTTTATTTTATTTATTATATTAACTTTATTATATTTAACTTTATTATATTTTTATTATATATTTAAATAATTGATTAGTTTTTAAGCTTGTTGTTTTTATATTATGTATATTAAAATTTTTTTTTAATGCACCTTAGATAATGCTAATGCCAATGATACATTTCAAGCCTCATAACTCAAAATTATATAATTAATTACTAAATAACTTAATATTTAATAAAAAAATACTTTAATATAATGTTTTAGGAAGCTTTTGAAAATAAGCTACAAGATCATGCAATAAAAACCAGGAGATTTCATTTAAAAAATTTAATTAGATCTTTATATGACCTTGTAGACTTTATTCGATGTCAAACTCATCATCATTAGGTATATTTTTTTTAGGTATATTTTTTTCTACAACTTTGCTATCTTACATATTTTTCATTATA